ATATTTACTCAAGTTCTACAACCATAAGTCATAATTACACTTCAAATAAAGCATTGATGTTATATTTATTATAACATAACAAAAAGATGGTTGTGCATCTTAAAATAAAGTAATGAGTTACTACTCAAAAACCAGAATTGGTTTTGGTAATCAGTCCTCCTATAAGTAACATAACAGCAAAAAGCTCCAGGATGCATGGATAGAACACATTCCTCTGCTAAGCAATTCAGGCCAGCCTCTTCTACCCATTTCCAGGCCCATAGGCTGCAAAGGATGAGCTCTGGCACATTTCATTCTAGAAGTCAAGTAAGAGTTACTAATAGACCCCAAAGGGATTTTTTTTTTCATTGGCAGAGTCCTTTTTTCTTTTTTGGCTGAGCGCTTTCTCCTCAACTGATTATTGAATTTTCTGTAGATTTTAGATTTAAAATAGTATTTGTACCTCTGGTTCTCATCCCTGGCCTCTTATAATCAAAGCACAATAAAATAATTGTTAATTTTGTTAATTTTTGTACAAAACATATTACTCAGTCTGAGATCCCCTGTATTAAAGCAGTCTTAGGAACTTTGCTGTTGTACATAAAGACCAACAAATGAAGCAGAATGGTGCTCATTTACAAGCCAGTGTTTTCACCAGGAGAAATAAAGTGATAAACTTGGTGAACACTTTTGCACCTTTTTCAGGCTTAGGCATGGCATTGCAGCCAGTAGCCAGGTTCACTTACACCCCATCAGAATGTATAAACACCCAACTTGCTTAAAAAATGTAATATACCACTCCAGGACTCTACCTGCTGAACTCAATCAAATATCTGAAATTTTCCTTTCTCAAACATAGTGTAAAAGTTGGTTGGGGATGGGGGGCCAAATTAAGTAAGCAATAGGCTAAAGATGCTGAACAACAATTATTAAAAATACCAACTCTGGAGAGGGGAAGACAAGAGTCAAACATTCCCTCTACGGGAAAACAAAGCCTAGAGCAAAGGTTACCTGGTAGGACTTGGGGAACTTTTGTATCACAACAGTGGTATCATTTTTCAGGCATGCTACAACGTCAGAGGAAAAGAGGTGAAGCTTTGGAAATAGACTATAATTCTTTTTTCCTTAAAAACAATTTCACCAACCTAAACCCTCCAGGGATATTGCAGGGCAAACCTGACTAATCCCAACCAACATGATCGATAATGAGCTGGGTATAATAGTGGTAGTTCAGCACATTTAGATGGGTCAAAGGAGGCTGCAAAGAAAAAAAAGAAGAAGAAAGCGGATGAGGTATCCGGGAAGAGGAGATGCAGGAGGAGAGGGAGCAGAACTGTAGGAGGGAAAAAAAATCAAACCCGAGAATTATTCGGAATAAAAAGCATTTATCAACCAGTGCACATTATATAGCGCATCAGAGTGCGATATTATATAGCCTGGCGGATATAATTCTTTGAAAAGTTTGGTCTTTAAAAAAAAAAAAATCCAAACAAGCAGCCATCAGACCAAGCACCTAGAACACCCAGAACCGAAGGACGGAGCCTGGTTTCGGAAAAAGCAAAATCCGAGTTTTTAAATCCAGAGTCGGCTGCACAAAAGTGACCAAATAAGGCGAATAAAGGGGCACCGAGGGCGGGGATGGGAAGAGAAACAAATCTTGGCCGACAACATTGAAGACTTGGGGCTGATTTCTCCCCTTTTTCCCCCCCTCCAGCCTCCAGCTCGAGCGCTTGGGTTTTCCTTTCCCACAACTCACCGCATCGGGGGGGCTCGACGCGTTCCCAGCACACACAAAGTTGCGAGCGTTCCCGTCACCGGCTGGTGGCTTCCCCTGGCTCCTCTTCGCTGCCTCTCCTCCGGGCAAGGAGAAAGGAAAGCTGCCTTCGCCCTTCCACGACACCCGCCGAGAGCAAAACAAGGGCTTCTCCTGCTAGCTCGCCTCCCTGACCTGCCGAGCGCCCAAGGCTAGTTATACCCGGGAGCGAGCGAAGGCGGGCGGCCGGGAGGAAGGAAGGAAGAGAAGCGAGAGGGCGCAAAGAGTCCGCGCGCAAAGTCTACGGAACCCGAGAACTTAAGCGGAGGACAGCCCGGCGCAGCGCCTCCCGCGCCCCCCGCGTCCGCTCTCTCATTCTCCTGCTTCCTCAGGGCAGCGTCGCCCCCCGCGGAAGGTGGCTCGGCCGGTCAGCTTGCGAGGCGCCTGGGAACTCTGCCCAAGAGTTCGCCTCCGCCTCTGCCGCCTTTTTTTTTTTTTTCTCTCCTCGTTCCCCCTCCGACTCTCTCCCTCCCTCGCCTGGGATCGCTCAGCAGGAAATCCCACCCAGCCTCCCGTTCTCCCCTCCTGATTGGAAAAGCGAAAGCGGGGACGGCCGGCCGGGCGAGCTGGGCCGGGCTTGCGGATCTCCTGCTGCCTCTTTGCGCCGGGGGCTGAAGGATTCAGGGGTTAACTGTGGAGGAGGAGGAGGAGGAGGACGGGGTAGGCGGTCGGGGGCGTGTCGTGTCACTAGAGCACCTTGGCGCGGTGCGGAACGTGTGCGCACAGGTAAGCGAGGCTGTGTGTCTGGCGCGGGGAAGCCGAGCCGCCGCCGTGCCTCCTCTTCTAAGAGGGCCCCCAGGGCTCAGGAAAGTCTCAAGTGGCTCTTTTATGAGATAAGTCTTCGCAAGAGAAGCGGCCGGTCTGTTGCCAAGCTATGTCTAAAAAGAAAAAAAGGTGCCTCCGGGGGATTCATGGACGCTAGAAATGTTTGTCCTCTTTGGTCCTTAAAATCCCTTTTTTTTTCTATTTTATTTTAATGTTGGGTTTAACTTGTGGGGCGTGTGTGCAGCGCTGCATATTTATTTTTACAGGTGCACGGGTTGCCCTCAGCTTACAACCACAACTGAGCCCAAAATTTCTCTTGCTTCAGTGAAACGTTTGTGAAGTGAGTTTTGTGACCGCACTTGTTAAGGGAATTGCTGCAAGTTGGTAAATTCATAACATGGTGGTTAAGTGTGAATCTGGCTTCCCCACTGACTTTGCTTGTTAGAAAGTCGCAAAAGATGATCACGTGACCCCGGGACACTGCAACTGTCATCAATATGAGTCAGTTGCCAGGCGTCTGAATTTTGATCATGTGACCATGGGGCTGCTGCAATGGTCTTGTGAAAAACAGTCATAAGTCATTTTTTAAATGACGTAACTTTGAATTGTCACTAAATGAACTGTTGTAAGTTGAGGACTACCTGTACTCTGCACTAGAAATATGAAGCATCTGCGGGGGGGGGGGGTGTCCTTCTCTTTTTCCTCTGTATCACCAGTTCTTAAACATCATGGACTTCGTACAGATATTCAGATGTTTTGAGACATGCATCCTTTGTTGGCGGTGGAGATCTCCACTATATTTCTAACTACAACACTTAAGTCCTCATCATTGTGATTTATGCCAGTACCTTCTGGCTTTGTTTGCATAACATAACCTTCCTATTTTACCCAAACCACCAAGTAGCAGAGGTGGTGCAGCAGTTAGAGTGCAGTACTGCAGGCCACTTTAGCTGACTGTTCAGCAGGTCAGCGGTTCAAATCTCTGAGGTTGACTCAGCCTTCCATCCTTCCGAGGTAGGTAAAATGAGGACCCAGATTGTTGGGAGCAATGTAAAATATATATACATTGCTTACTGGTGTACACCGCTTAGAGAGTGCTTGCACTTAAAGCGGTATATAAGTCTCATAAATAAATAAATAAATAAACATTTTCCCCATGATTAATTGAACAATAATTTACTCAGATCGTTCACTTGATTTATACAACACACTACACCATAAATTGTTCATACAGGCTGGGTTCAGACATAGTCAACTAGTTTGTGGTTGGTTTGGATCCTGTTGTCTATATATTTCAGTTTGGGTTAAGGTAGTATATGAAAGATAACCATAATCCATTATCCTTCCACCTAATCTTGTCTCCCAACTCTTTTTCAACAGTTGTTCTCGCAGAGAAATTTATAGGTCTACATTTATAGTTTTTCAGTGCCTGCAAGGCAAATCTGATACAAGCAACAGGATGAGGTGGGAGAGTAGTTATTACAGTCTTAGTCAACATACCATATGCAGACAGACTTCCTTTGGTTATGAAGCATATGAAACATCTTTATTAAAAGATAGATTTAACTGTATATAGAAAGGTATTTTATACTTTTTCAGCTCTTTTTTTCTTTATACTGTATAAGTCTACAATTTACTGCATTGTATTAAAATTTTTAGATTTTAATTTAAAATAAAATTTGAATTTCTATCATTCTGGAATTCTTTTCAAAAGATGAGCATGATGATCTAAAATAAATACATAAAACCCTATGAAGTTGTCTAATCAGTAATTTTAAAGAAGAAAAACTCTTTTATCATCTAAAGGAAAATCCTAATTCTGATCTTTTCCTACATGCTTGTAGAGTCAGCTTTAAGTGTTAACTTTATATCCTATATTTTCTCCAGCACTTCAGGACAACATACCTGGAAATTTTCTTTAATTTTACACAGGCAACAATCATGTTGTAAAATAGATTGGTCTGAGATAGAACAACTGCTCCCAACTCATCCTAGGTCTTCCTGGCTCTAGTTCACCCTCTTAACCACTATTGCTCAGTTTGTCTATAGCTGAACATGTTAAGGATTTATCTTGGCCCAAGCAAAATCATGACCTGTGATCTTGTGTTATACTAACTTAGAGAGGAAAGTAAGGTAATTAAGGAAATATCTAGTGATTGTCTTCTTTAAATAAGGAGGCATCTATGCTCTCCTTCAGAAAGGCTGTTAGGATGTTAGCTAAGGCATTTCTAACTTCTGGATAAAAGTTACAAGTCACGTTTTGCAAAGAATGGCTACAGATAATGAATGAATGAATGTTAAATAAATCAGACTAGCACAAATATGAAAGATTTTGCCCTTCTCCAAATAAAAGTGTTAAACCTTTAAAAGTTCTATAATAAAAGCCAGTCAGGGGGAGCAGCCTCCTTACAACCTGAAAACCCCAACATGTATAGTTTTGCAGATCTAATATGTGAAGAAAAAAACACAGGCTTTGCTACACGAATTGCCAAAGCATAAACCTTCCATTGGGCTTTATAAGGATCAGATGTGTGTCTTCCTCTATTTGCCCTGTAGTCATCTACCTTGCTATTTCAGTTCCCATGGTTCATCGATGGATCATGGGACCAACTTTAAAGCAAATTGGAGAGAATACTTAGGAGCAATTGGGTCAATAATCATAGTAAATTCGTATTCTAGTTATGAACAGGACATCAACAAACTAACTACTGGGATTAGCTCCAAATTCTTCCCAGATGTCATGTAATCCAACTGAATCCTTTAAAGGCTTTTAGGTTGGGCTGTCCTAATTCTTCTTCAAAGATGAGAGACAGCTATTAATGCAACTTTAACTGGATGGTGATCCATCTACTATACTGTGGAAACCAGAGATGCCCCACCCACAGAATATCTTCCTGGACAGAATAAAATATCAAATTGAGCTTGTAATCTGGGATCAAATGGGATAGGTTCCCAATTGTCATGGCTACTGTGAACTCCTGAGTTGCTCCCATAAAATAGCTGTAGGAATTCTAGGGTGATAGCTCTCCATTGTGTAGAAGATGTCTAACCAGAGAATGTGCATGTATCGGTTTTCATTTATATGTGGATGGAAACTGGCTTTTCATAAATATTTATAAGGCTAGATATTCTGTTTCTAGGACGTTTTGAAAATTCCCCGCTCATTACCACATCATTAGTATCCTTGTTTTCTCAAAGAGATCCAATATCAGCAAGTTACATCAACAGCTATTAGCAACCCCAGCCAAACAATAATTAGCTGTTCTGGGATAACAGAAGGTCCTTAGTTGTGGCCCATTGGTTTATTTCCTTGAAGTGTATTCTTTTCTTTCCCCAAGCAGCAACAGTGGCACTGTATATGTTCTCTACTTGGTAGGGAGCTTGCTGGGTTGGCTTAATTTTGTGATATGTTGTTGTTCACGGAAGTTTAGGATTATGATCTCCATCCCAGATCTGCAGGCTGTAGAGAGGTCAGATGTGGTCTTAGTTTACGCAGATATCAAAATTGATGCAAGAATTAAAATATTCCAATTTGGAAGATGGAAACCAGGCAATAATATTCAACTATAAAATAATCTTATATAGTTCTCAAGAATATCTAAGTTGTGCAGACTAAAACATTGTGTCACAGGAAAATACAGATTTGGCAAACAGAAGTCATAACTGTTGCAAGTAGGGCTTGCAGCATAGATGATAATAAAAGTAGCAATCAGTGAGGTTTTCCTCACTTACCTCTCACTGTAGCACAAACATATCCTGGTAACCACACTTTTCCTGCTGTTTCCTCATGATGTGGCATTATCTGGCTCTCCAACCCATGTGGGAAGCAACCTTAAGCCATCCTTACTGTACTGCTATTGAAGTAATGTGTTTTTTCTTATCCCAAGACAGCTTTGCTGTAGATACAATCTGTTTTACTTCAGGAACCAATTGGTTGGTAGCAAAGTCAGATTGGATTCTTCTCTTCCTGCAGACATTTTGTTACCAGGCTAGATAACATTATAGGTTCTCCACTGTTGCAACAACAAAGGGCCCCTGGGGGTGGGATCATCCCTATACCTACTGCCTAGTTTAATCTAGTGTTAATATGTTCCCCAGCGTCTCCAGTCCCTGTGAACTTCTGGAATAGCATTAAACTCATACCCAGAAGGAATCCAGTTAACATCTGGTAGCCCTGCTTTTTTTTAACATAAAACACTTGCACAAAATTAGAGTGAGGATTTGTTATTGTTACTGTTGTTGTTGATCTAGCCACCTGTCAAAACTTGCTTTCTTCTCTAGCCCCCATTCCACATTTAAAAGAGTGATTGGTAAATGCATTCCAAGTGGCTGGTGACATCTGATGACCTGCATACAACATTAATAAGCACCATTTCCAACATTGTGCCTGTGGCAGAGGAGGGATAACTCATGGTAATAGCTAATTTTATGTCACTTCATTTGCTACTAGCTCAAGAATTGGAAGATAACACTGGATTAGCCATAAGAAAGAATGTGTTATAGAAGTATAGAACCACAATGTAACTAAGAAACTAAGATGCATAGGAGTAATCCACCATTCCAGTTAATGGAGAGTGTTAGATGTTAACATTATATCCTGCTTTTATTTACTAGCTACGTTGGGGATGGGTGGGGGTGAAATGTTTTGACAGCTGCCAGATCATCCAAGAATGCCTGCAATTGCAAAACAGCAGCATCTGGATAGCTCTGTTGTCTCTTCTGCTATGTAGCGGGTAATGATTAATTACCATTTATTTATTTTTATGGTGGAGCCTGTGTCATGTAAAGTATGAATAGTTTTTTACAATATCCTTGCAATATAGGCCAAATCAGTGATCTAAATCATGTTGGGATCAGTGACTAAGGCAGCGGGACTAAGTATGACCTGGTCACTCTTGCAATTAGCATGGGCAAATGGCCATATGTTTGTTCTATGAATTTCTGGGGGCGGGGGAAAATGGTGATAGAAGTTGCTGGTTCGTTTTTCAGCATGTCAGTTTGCCAATATTTTAAATTAGATTCCTTTTTTTTAAATGATACACTGCAAAGGATACTGAGAGATAGCCATAGGCACCTTGATATTTACAGGACTCATGTTGGGGATTCCTGGTCTAATTGGAGACAGCAGTCATAACCATGTTTATCTGAAGTAACCTTTCTTTTAGCTTCTTTGTGTTGTGTTAATTTAGTCAGTGGAGTTAATTAGTATACTATAGTATAGTTAACCATGGCTTACCTCTTTTGACCGGATTTTATACATTGTTTAGGATGCAGCTGTATCATAACAATGCATTGTAAATGTATCCATTTTTCAAAGATGCGAATAAACAATGTAATAAATGTATAGGTCACTATGTTGCACTACATTCCTGCGCTTTACATCTGTACCAAGACACATTGAATTCATCTGGTCTTGCTCCTAAGCCCATGCATGAGGAATTTATTAGGAGCTGTTGAATACATATCCCACACAAGTATCTTCTGTCACCTACAGATAAATGTTTTTGCTACAAATGATTGTTTGTTCACATAACAGGGGTACTGGGTAAGATTTTTGCAGACAATATGTAAAACATTAAGGGTGGAGGAAGAACTTGCCAGATGTATTTTGCCTTTCTATTATTGCTATTTATACACAAGAATCTAATCAACTAATGGTGAGTGCTAAATTGGTTCTAGATAACGGTCAATAGAATTCACAAGGACTGACTTGGATCTCTTGTGGCAATGCAATGATTCCAAACTGATGGCACATTTAACTCCACCTTCCAGTTCAGCCTGCTCTTCTCCCTCAGCTGGCATTCTAATACTAAATCAGCCTTCCCCAGCCCATTCTTCAGTGCCTTGGATTCTTGGTTTTATGTTGTGAGCTACTCTTAACAAGTTAATCACATGATCGTATTGGATTCTATGGAGTTCTATCTTGAGAAATGCTCACCATGCCTAAGATGAGAGTGGGATGTAGGCAGCTGTTGGGCTTAACTGAACAAACATAAATAAAAGTTCATGGATTGGGAAGGAGTGAACTCTTTTTTCCCTAAAATATACCTCCCTCAGGCTCAATAAGAAGATAATTATGAGTGTTTGGATATAAATGTCAGCATCTTATAGCTTTTATTTGGAAGAACTTATGACTATAAATGGATATGCATGGAAACATTGCAAGTTAAAGGTCTTGTAATTCATTGTCTGACTTTGCCAGCACTTGTAAAGTGCACTGACATTTATAATGATAGTCTGTATTTATGTGGCACTCATTATCCTTAAAAAAAAATCTTAATTAAACTTAGCAACTCCCCAAAGAGATAAGTCTATTTTCAAGAGGTGCAGAAACAGTGTACATCCAAATCAAGGCCAACCAAGTGTTAAAACCAGGACATCGCAAAGAAGACAACTTGATCACTGGCCTGATTTGTAAAAATATATGGTTCACTTTTTCCCAGTGACAGCTTTGTAGGATGAGATGGCTCAGTAACATCATGCAGTATTGTAAGGAAGGACCTCAGAATTATCTGTTCTTACTTTCTCCTGGGGAAAAAAAATAACATTTTTTTTTCAGGGCTCAGATCAATTTTGACATCTGATTAAATAAGCCAGCCTTTTAAATTTCCCATAATGCTCTAGAGTGGAGTGGGTAATCTAGTGCCCTCTGGATATTTTGGATCATAACTCCCTCAGATCCTTCTTTTTGGCCATGCTGGCAGTATGGTGTAGTAATTAAACTAGGGCCTGAAAGAGTCCAGCCTTTCCTCCAGAACAGGAATGCCCTGGATGATTTGGGGTTCCTCTCAGTCTACTTGTCCCACAGGATTGCCTGCTGGGGGGATAAAATGAAGAGAAATCTCTACATCAGGGATCTTGAGCCCTGGAAAAATAAAGCAGGAACTAAATGTTATTACTGTGGTAATTGAAGTCCCAAACATTTAAAGTAGCAAGTTGCCAATCTCTCCTCAGGAGCAATCCTAATTTAGAGGCACTGTAAGATACTGAGCTGGTCATTCCCAAACTCAGAAGCCAATGTTGCTGGGAGTCATTGCTGCTGACCTGGCCAAACATACCTGGCAATGCTTGCTGAGGTGAGAGGGCTGCTAATCTTGAAAAGCATCCACACACTTTTCAGCAGGGATGTCTGTAATCATCTGCCCTCAGCCCAGTTCTTCCTGTTTTTTGCCCCCTCGATTCACAGGTATAATCCTTTGAGGATCCAATCTTCTTCCTATCAGGTAAATAAGCTACTATACCAGGGGTAGGCAACCTTGGCTCTTTTATGACTTGTGGACTTCAACTCCCGTGCTAGCTCAGGAATTCTGGGAGTTGAAGTCCATGAGTCATAAAAGAGTCAAGGTTGCCTACCCTTGTACATACTTTCTATCATCACCCTACCCATTTGATCTTTTGGCTGCTCTCCCAAAAGGATGCCTCTTCCCAGTGCAAAGCATTGCCTGCACCTGATAGAAAATAGGCATTTACATCAAGTAAAGTCTTGACAGCCCGAACATGTTCAAATCAAAACCACCTAGCTATCAAGAGCAGTGAATGACATTACATTCAATATATATTTTTTTTTTCCTCCATGGAGCTCCAGTGATCATGCAAAACAAAGTCCATATCTTTATGCAACTCCAAAAGGGAGGTATCCTATCAGACAGCCCATTGTTTAAACCAGGGGTGTCCAACCTTGGCAACTTTAAGATTTGTGGATTTCAACTCCAACTCCCAGAATTGTGGACTTCAGCTCCCAGAATTTTGGGAGCTGAAGTCCACAAGTCTTAAAGTTGCCAAGATTGGGCACCTCTGGTTTAAAAAGAAAGACCAAAAGTATTCTTTCAGGAAGGTGAGATTGTCTGAACCAGCATATCCAGGTGGTAACATTTAGGTTGTTGAGTTTTTCCTTTCCTCTTATGGTAATTTGTAATTTTTTCCTAAGGCTCATGCTTTCACTGTGTTCTAGAGGTGGGAAATAAGATGGAAAATCCCTTTGAAATGGTACTAATGAAAAAGGCATTCAGTTCCTTATCTTTGCAATTGGGGCATAGGTGACCTCGGTGTGGAAAAGAGAGATAAGCTTTGTGAAGAAAATGTATTGTGAGGTGCTGTCCACCCTATTTCTCAAGACTTCCATTGCTGGCCGATGGTGCTCTGCAGCTATTCTGGATACTGCTGGATCAATGGATGTTCATCACCTTTCAAAGCGAGGCTAGTTAGTATAAATAGGATGGGATAGTTTGGATCTTAGTCAGAAAAAGAATGCACTCAGAAGATTTTGTGTATTATGATGTATGCTAATGTATTTACACGTCTTTCTTTTTCCGAAAGGGGACGTAGCTTGTGCAGAGAAGCATCCCATGAGATGGGAAAATGAAATATTGTTTACAAATGTTGATTATGTATGAGATAGTAACAATGAAATATTGTAATGGTCATCCTTTACTGAAGCTGTTATTTATAATTCTATATTTGTACCTACATGGGTGAAAAGCCCTCTTATATAATTGTGTTGTGGATGTTTTGTTCTCTGTCTTTTTCTCTTTGTACTTTCCTATTTCCTCCATTTTATGTTTTCTTTTTCTCGTATGTATGTATGTATTTTGTATGTATGTATGCATAAATAAATAAAAAATACGCCTTCCACAATCTTCATGAATCATTGTTGCCATCTAGTGGTGAATGCCAACCTTACAATTGAACTAAAGCAAATCAATAAAACTTCACTCACTGTTAAGCCATGGTTGATTTAACTATGGTTTACTGATTGAATTACAACTCTTTGGATGCCACAGTGGTTTAGTCTGCTGCCTCAGTACAATGTGTGAAATAACAGATTTAGTGCTCCTTAATTCAGGTAAGCCTTTTCCAGGAATAACATTAGCTGCTTTATCAACGTGAGCCATTCACAAGTCCATAGATCATTAGAACACCAAAATAAAGTGATTGCATTAAAAGTGATGCAATAGTGTTCTCGGGAATATCCCTAAATAATAGAATAGAATAGAATATCTTTATTGTCATTGTGTAACAACGAAATTAAGTGCTGTCCATAGTGCACACTATACACAAGTAAAAATCACAAATAAGAACATACATTATATACATACATCCCTCACATTCTATTCACCATTGCATTGCCCCTAATATTGCACTTCAATGTTGCACTATACAGTAGTATTTAATATGGTTACAGCTCTGGGATAAAAACTATTTTAGCCTATTTGTCTTTGTTTTTATTATCCTGTACCATCTGCCAGATGGTAATAGTTCAAAAAAAGAATGTCCGGGATGAGATGAGTCTTTAAGAATATTTTGAGTTTTCCTAAGACAGCGGGAACTGTACAGTTCATCTGGGGTGGGTGGGAGAAGAGGGCAGCCAATAGGCCTCTGGGTGATGGTAATGACCTTCTGGAGCATTTCCTATCTGCTACTGCACAGCAAGCAAGTCACACAGAAATGCAATAGGTTAG